GACGTGCATCAAGGTCCTATTATGTTTAATGTATGTACCAAATTTGAACAAAATCCGTCCATGCATAACTGAGATCCGGGTCCGGAATGGTGAAAATGTGCGATTTTGATGCATTTTCGGCCTTAAAATGGCCTGCTATTCGGCTATCATTAATCAGATCATGAAAAAAATGCATGTGCATATGTCCCATATAATGTGTGATGTACGAGTGAAGTTTGAACTTAATCGGTCCATGCATGTTCGAGATACAGGTGATCACGGACGGACGCACGGACGCACACAGGGCAAAACACAAGTCCCCGTTTTCGGACTGCGCCCGAACGGGGACTAAAAAAAGTGACATACATACATACATACATACATACATACATACATACATACAGACAGACATACAGACATACAGACAGGGTAAGTGCAAAGATTCCCTTTTGTGCTTCGCACACGGGAGTCAACAATTTGTTGTTCTGAAAGTCTTGTATTTGTCTTTTGATGAGTGGTATCCTGAACAGAATGTATTATTTTTTGAGATGTGTTTACGCCAATACAATGTCATGTGTGCGTCAGCCTTAGTTAATTTATTTTTGCTTGGAATTAATTTTTGCTAATTTCACTGAAGGAATGGGTTCAGTATTTTTCTATATTCAACTGTCAACAAGTTCCATACAAAAAACACCAAAAGTCTTTTCAGCAAAAATTAATTCCAGCTAAAATTTTTTTACAGTAGGTGATTTTCTATTCACTGCATGAAAAATGTGATTTAAATGTCTGCCACAAAAAGTCAAATGATTTGATTTTGAACTTGAAATTCATTTTTCTCCATATTTCAATGTCAAAACTCCTATCTTTCAATAGAGGAATATGTTGTTAAAGATATCTTTGCTTACAAATGTATGTATAACACAATATTACCATAAGCATAGAAATCAAACCAAAAATTGTTTTGTCAAATTCCACGGTATGACCTTTGTTTGCCCTGTTTTTTTGCATAATGCAGGATCTTTCAGTGAATCGAAAATGGTCTATTTGACAGTGGTAATCTTTGATTTTGCCAAAAACAAACAAAAACTGATAGACAGGTGTTTTGTAGCATCTCATGAAAACATTTATAACATGTTACAAAAAGACAGTAGAAAGAACACTGCTTTGTTTCATTCAGTTAAGGTAGAGATGCAGGTTGTACGGCACTTTGGAGTGAATTTTTTTATTTTTTGCTTTTTATTATTCAAACAGTCTTGGCTATAAATTTTGTACAATTGTGAATAGTAGAACATACTCAAAAAACGATTTTAAAATATAGATAACAGGTGCAAACATTCTCTCTTTTGAATGCTTAGCAAGATTTAGCAAGGCTGTACATAAATAATAAAAAAGAAACATGGTGAAAAAAAGAAATGACGGGATCTCCATATTATGCACTATATTTAACTTTTAACAAAACGATAATACATTTAATTTTGGAACTGTTACAGCCATTTTAATTATGAGCATTAGCAAACTTCTTACTGAGTGAATTGTTATGCAAATTAGCAATTATCTCAGCTTCTTTTTAGTGCACATTCCAGAACTTTAAAAATAAATAGCTCCTAGACGCTTTGACCCTTTGTTTTGAAATTTTCACAAATGATTGACAATGTGTTTATCTTCAAAACGCCGTCGGGACATTGTTTTTGGTTGAACAGTGTTACAACAATCGTACAGACAAGTAGTCTGGGTGTTAATTTATGCATAAACTTGAAGTAGTGAAATCTGAGCTGCCGCCCTGCAAAATTAACAACTGGTAGACAGTTTTTAAGACGGCACTTTCTTCATAGTAAACAGATGTACCCATAAACCAATTTTACAGGAAACAGAAGCATGGTTTAGAAGCTAAATTTTTTTAAATCACTTTTGACCAAAAAAGCACATTTTTGTGCATATTTCAAACTACAGTGTCCATAAAAATAAAATACTAACAAAATGTTAAAATTCATACAATAAGCTTTCCGAAAATATATAGTTTTGTGGACAAGGGAGGTTATCTTGGTTTCCTAATTAGCAAATTAAAATACCTGTCAGGTAAACTGCATCTCTACCTTAATATAGGCTGAAAATCACTACATATACTGTAAAACATGTTGAAATGCGACATGTAATTTTAGCGAATTGTGGCAAAATGACACGATAGCGAAATGTTGATTTAGCGAATCTCTCTTGTCATTGTTGATTTCCGGTTTTCACAATACTTGTCTGTCGCGTGCCAAAACAAATGCACAGTTATCACCTCCATAAAAACAAGAAAAACTATATATCGGGTATCAGCATCACTTCATTTATGTTATTTTTTCATTTATTTATTTTCATTGAAATAATGACCACAATGAATACGTTTATTTTTTTGTGTTAATTTACTTTCCAATAAAGTGTATCTATCATGTCAGTACGTTTTTTTTGTGTTGTTTACAAAGTTTGTGTGGAGAAAAAAGACGTCGTTTGGTGGCCATTTTGAGTTTATAATAAAGTCATTAGCGACATCTTGAATTAGCGAATCAGTTCTCTCGCTAAATTTGCTAAAAAGAGATGCCCGCGAAAAAGACATGTTTTACAGTATATCATCACTTTGATGAGTCACACTCACCTTTATAAATCTGGTGACAACTTGAGAGGTATACTTAGGAAGGTTCAAGATTTTCCCATGCAGAATAAGAGAAACTAAAATAAACTTCTTGTATGCTTCTAACATGATGTGACTGACTGCCATACTAGGTGTTGTAATGGCCTGCAAAGAACATAGTATATTTCCATCAGTCATAATTAGACAGACATGTTGCAGCACACTGGTCACTGGTCAGCTGGTGTGTGGACAGGCTATTTGAGAAAACGATTTTCAACCTACAAACAGAAGTAGTTCAATAAACACTGGGGGCGCTCTCATGTTAATTAACAAACCGTGAACATCCCAGATTTCTTTCACTTTATAAAAAAGATTCAAGCATTACTTACTATTTCATAATAATAAATAGCTTTATTCCATTGTTTTAATGCTGTGTATATCATTCCTCCATAGTAGTAATAACACAGAAAATGAGTGGCATCGTACAAACCACCCTGGTTAAATAAAAAAATATAGAAATAATTAGCTAAAGTATGGATAACATCTAAAATGTGATAACATTATTTTAGTTGTTGATGAAAAAGAGAATTGTCTTCATTAAAACTATACATACCTCTTTACTAATTTCGGTGATATCAACATCCAGGAATGGCAGAGCAGGTTTGAAACATTTTGATAAAAGACACAACTGTAGACAATTAAAAGAACACTGAAATAAGTTTGTTGAAAAGCTATCAAACAATGGGTGCAAGAGTGTAGTAAAGACAGTACTGTGTGACCGAATCAAACAATGTAATGCATCTAGGTTACAGTACTCATTTCGCCCAACCACCCACGCGCAATCGATTTTTTTCGCTCACTTTTACGACAGTTTGTTTAATTCGACCGGACAATTTCTGCTTTATTTTTTACCGTGCAAACCCGGAAATATCACCGCCCACTCGCTGGCATTTCAAATTCGAACTACCAAAAAATTTCCGAGGTTCACATTGACTTATAATTGTCTTTTTGGTTTTCATAGGATATTGAACAGCCGTCATAAGTTCAAATACTTTTTGTTTTAACTATCTATAATAATTATACAGTACAGTTCTCGCGAAAGCTTTGGCTTTTCTGGCATCATTGTCGCCTACGCATGGCTTCATTGTCGCCTCAGCATCGCATCATTGTGGCATCAACTTCGCATCATTGAAAATTGAAGCTGTGTTCGCCCCGCTTATTTTGTGGCATCATCGTGGCCTCAGCTTCGCAGTCTCATGCATTAACATGGCATCAGCTTCAAAGTATTGTGACATGAGTATGATCTCATTATTTTCACACAAAAAAGGCAGTAGAAAAAAACACATGTACAGAAGTTCGATATGTAATCGTTTTGAAATTCAAGGCGGTAAGGAGAATAAAATAATATGACCAAGAGTAAAATTACATTTTAAAAAGATATCTTGTTTAATTATTTAATGTTGCGAGTATTGGTTACGAAAAACTTGAAGTGAAGTACATTACAATCTGCAAGGGGACAAGTGTCATATTGACTGCAAGAAAAATCGTGGTAAATTTAAATCACACGATGCAATCGTCGTTCGGATACAACACAATTTGCTATACGAAATGAAACTGTTCTTGTTATAAATTTACCTTATTTTTGTTCATTTTATTTGCTGGTAAGAGAACAGATTCAGATTCCTCATTTCGGTGGTATTTTTCTGTATTTCGTTTAGTTTTAGCCGAGTCCGATACCATGTGCACAGACTACTAATACATGCAAAACACATGTACGCCGCCTGGTGCGTCAGCGTTGTCGCCTGCCATCTTGATACAAAGTTCCAAAACAAGTGCGTACATTTCTAACTATGATTGGATGGTTGTGGTGGCATCGGTCTGGTAAAACGTTACATCCAATTTTCAAAATTAAAATCTATACGTACTCTAAACGTATTCTCACAAAAAAAATATTTTCGAATAAAAATGAGCCACATGCCATGTAAAAGATCGAATAGCACTTGACATGCAGAAATAATTTATTGGGCTTCAGAAAAAAACATGTCTATTTAGTTGCAGCCGTAAATATTTGTTGACCAGTCGATGAACAATTCGAAACTCATGATACACACAGAAGTCCTTCGATACTGAATATCATCAACCCCAATCTCGGTTTACCTTATTTCCCAACATGCAAAACTGATTTGTATCTCAGCCCAGTTTTTTTTTTTTTTTTGAACTGAGGTCAAATCCCAGCCGTTTTTCAGCGAATAATTGTGAAGCCTGTCACAGCACAAAAAAACTATGTGAATCGACGCAGGAGAATGGATAGTACGACAACCCTCAAATTAGCGCCAAATATGCTTTATTATAACATCATTGATTGGCTGAGAGTCACCTGATCGGAGCACAACCTGGGTCACAGAACCATATTTGTCTGTATTATCAACGGGACTTTGCGAGAGAACCATACCCACATTTTCAACTGTTTTTAGCGCGGAAGTTGCCAACAAATGTCGAAAAACTAGTGAATTTTATGGATTTGAATAAAATAAAGCTAGCGATTGGTAAGACTGGTTAATAATATATCCCCCCGATGCTCTTCGAATTTTTTTATTTTATTTCAAGGTGAGAAATGGATAATTGAAGTTCCATCGATTTTAAGGAGACTGTTTCACCGCGACAACTCTACGCTGTGTTGTAGTTTCACGAGGTAAAAAAAATATATAATAAATAGTACTTGTTTAATTATTTGGTTTTACAGCCCGCAAATTACGGGACATTATC